CTGAAATAAACCCTTTGCTCTGACTTTATACCCTCAAAGCAACATTCTAATTGTCATTTGTCAAAGCCCGAGTATTTTATTTGCAAGATATGTACAGTCTTCATTATAAATTAACAAACTGACATTCTGTTCTACACAGCAGAGGAAAACAAAACATGTAAAAAGCAAGCATCTAATATTTCTGACAGGTTTGCCCCTTAGGTCTTGTTTTCCCAACACTTTGAACTTCAATGCCCTGTTTCTCATCACACAGCCTTGGTCTGTCCCAGGACCTCTGCACCTTTTGCCTCTCTGTGGACTTAGAGCAATGTCATCAGAAAGTCCTCCAAAGTTGGCAAGTTCTTATAGGAAAGCAAAAACAAGCAAACAAGACTGGCTTACATGCATTATTTTGTGTAATATTTAATAAGAACTATTTCTACTTAGCTTTGCTACTAATCTGGATATGACTATAATTCCTATACTTGCAAAGTCCTTAGCAAACAGAACAAATCATCTAAGGATATCAAGTGGTACCAGATACTCACATTTTCTGACCGGAGCCTCTTGGCAGGACACCCACCGTCCCTGGGGTGAAGCATGTAATACAGTCGGACTTTGCTTGCATGTTTTCGACTCTGGCAAGTAAAGGGAGAAAGAGATATTATAAAAGAGAAGGAATTTTAAATTCTTTGAAACGTAGCCAGTGACCACAAATGCAAAGAGGTACTTTCAGCAGAGAACATTTAGGCATCCTCTTGTGAGTTATGTAGGATACAGTTTCAGATAGATTAAGTGACTTGCCTGAAGTCATAAAACAAATATAATTTCAGGATAACTAAAAACACACTAAGGAAGAAAGGTAAAAGCATTGAGATTGTTTAGCCTTGAGTGAATAATGTATTTAATTTTCTTCAAAAGTAAAACAGGTAAGCAGAGGAAAAATAACAAGGATTAATTGTAATGAAAAGAGGCAAAGGGATTTTCTCACTCACTCTGGCTGTCCTACCCTAAGGGCTCAGGGCTGAGGCTTCCTTGGGTGCCTGATAGGCACAGCAATGCCCCCACCCCCAAAAGCCCTTTCTTCTGGTTCTCCCAAACCAAAGTCTTATCTCATTAACCAGCTATCAAGAATAACCCTCTGAGGCCTATCATGAGCAAATAAAAGATATTGTATGCATGTCTGGGAACTGATCAGAGCCCAAGATTCCTGGGAGCAAGCAGAAGCAGGTGAACAAATGAACACCCACCTCTCGGGGACTCATGGGATTGTGGATTTCTGGCTGTGCTAACTGGTCCAAGATTGTCATGGAGAAACTAATCCTTGCTCAGCTTCATCTTTCCTCTATTCCTTTGCTTAACTGAGAGCCCACCTTTCATCATTTTGAAGAACACTGCAGTTCTCACTTGAAAATTCTCCCAGAGGCAGGATGGCAGAGTGAAATAGCAATAAGAAAAGTACTCCAGAAGTTCAAAATCCCAGTTTCAGCTCTACCACTCTCTAGCTGTGTAATGCTGGACCATTCATTGACTGGAAAGTGTTTATAATCCAAAGAGACTTTTTCCAAGTACAAAATGAATACAATAATACTTTTAGGGTTGCTATAAGAATCAAATCAGACAGTATATCTGAAAAATTGTGATTTGCATTATGCTAATCATTTCTTACTCTTGACTACATCAGTTCCAAACATTGAATCCATTTCTAGCTAATTCCAATCCCCTTTCCATTTTCTTTATGTTCTTCTTTTCAAGGTCTTTGTTCCACTTTGCCTTTATTTACACTTGAGTTCTATCCAATCTCTGGCATGATGGTTTTCTTTTATGGATTAGCCACAAAGGCAGAGCGATTTTTAGAGAACACACAGCAAGTTGCATCTTGTTTACAGGATACATTGTAAATCCTTTGTGCCTGGCTTTCCTCATTCATCACTTTTTTAATTCCTTTATTCTGCTTTAAGCAAGAAGGCTTCTCTAAACAGTCCCTGGACACTTTTAAGGCCTTTAAATGGGTTTAAAAGGGCTAATCGAATGAGAAGTTTTTAGAGATGTATAAAAGTACTAAAGTGTGATTTGAAATATGTTGTCAACACTTGTGGCCATTTCAACATTCCTAGTAGGTTGTAATCGAGATTTTTGGAGTCTTTCTTTTTTGCCTGAAAAAAAAATTGATAGGACAGAGAAATAAGATCTGTGTGGATGAATGTCAGAGGATTCAATATTATTTCTCATCTTCTGCAAGTTTTGAGTTTGACACAGAACAGACTAGCTTTAAAAAAAAGAACATGCTGATTATTAAAATTTGTATGTTTTCTACCATTTTGTTGGGTTTTTGGGAGGTTGAAGCAATACTAGAAATGCTGCTGCATTCAAAAGAATGAAAAGAAATATTTAAAAAACCTGAAAAATTGCTGAATATGGACACAGCCTGGGGTGGTGAAAAAGTGCACACAGATGGTAATTGGTGAAAAGATAAAGTGGTAAGTGTGTGAGCTCAAATGTGGCCGAAGTAGATTTTCAATTTTGCATTTGTTATCACTGAAAAACCTCTCATTGCAGTTCCTGTATCATCAATCTACTTAAAGCCCTGGATTTCTAGGGAATAAAATTATAGCAAAATGGGAAATCTCATAATGCAACCTGTTTTGTGACTGGTATTTTTCGCTTTTCTAAAGTATTCTCTTTCTTTTCAAAAGACTTTCCAGCAAAGGCAAAGTTCACAGAGTTACTTAATTCCAGTTTTAAAAAACTCGTAAAAGCCCATTAGCTGAAAAGAAAAGGCAAATAAATGGCATGTTCTTCTGTGAAGCCATTAGTGATAAGAGAGGTTGGGATGTGAGGCTTATTAGCAATTTCGATCACTTGGGGACTGTTTTACTCCTTTAGCTCCCCACCTCTGATGTTGGTGAAAGAAGGTCGAATCACAATACAGGTGGGAATCCTGTCTCAGGTTATAGATGAAGAGTGACAGAGCTTTGGCAAATACCTCCTGACTCTACAGTCATTAGAGTGTCTCCTCTGCTTGGGCATCTTTCCCCCCTCCTTCCTTCCTCCAGGTTGCCTGAGCCAAATGCAATGCCTTCTCTGTCCAGAAGGCAACCCTGACTTCCAACAAGAAGAACAAATCCTGTGGGTAGACCACCACTCAGCGCTGAGAGTTAGAAGTCACCTTCCCGGGTAGACTAATCCCAATCTAAAGCTGCTTCCAATTTGTATTGGTTGACTAAGGGAAAGAGATTCCCATCAGATTGTTCTTGAGCACACTCCAGCCTGGGGCTGTCAACGTGAACCTACAGCACTACTATTGAGTCTACTCCCTTCTTTTGGCATCATATTTTCCCT